CACTTTCTGAAGATTTGACCTTTAACCAGTAACAGAGCAGCAAACAAAGTACCGAAGTAGCAAACTTAAAAACAATGTAGCTTTTTTAATATAAAGTTATATTGAATGAAATTTGAGGAGTAACTCCAGAATTAAATTATCTTTCAAATGAGGTATGACACGATATGGAACATTCAGAACTTTTTACTGTAGAGGGGGGTGCCGTTGTTTTTTGACACCCTGTACATCTATATTGATTGCCCTTCATTACAGAGGGCACCTTAATGGGGCTGACATACTTTGGGGCAGATAGTGGGGCTCAGCATGGATACATGGTGGGCGAGACAAATGGTCTTACAGCAAGATATCCTTCATTACATCAAGTACAAAAATGAATGCCTAAAATCAGCCACACATTGGCAAATATTGAGCCCACACTGATAATGTGACTGAGCTACTTAAGGAACACAAAAGGGATAGGGGGTGAAAAATCCTCCAAACAAATCCTTTTAAAATTATGCTTTTGTTTTCTTAACTAATTTTCTGAATAAATGACACCAGATCCACTGTAGAACATGTAGAAGTGACTGAAATTTCTTACCTTGGCTAAGATCTAGAAATCAAATGATTACTCTGCACACGTGCTATATTTCAATGAAATCCCTTTGCGTGGGCATAGATTTAAAGTGGAAGTAGAACTTCTCTCATTAAATGTAATTTCTGGTATGATTGACAATTTACAAAAAATTGTTTGAATGTAAATAAAAATACTTTTAATAGATCCTAGAAAGCAATTAAATGAACATTTTGGAATTAAATGGGTAGTTTTATAGAAACTGACCATTGTTTAAAGCTTTTCCCTCTTAAGGATACTATGATGTCAACATTCTTAAAGCACATGGGTAATCAGGAGAATATCATTGATATAATATGCACATAGGAGAATATATTTTCTTTTTTCAGTGTTTCTCTTCAATGTTCTAACATGATAACAATGTTCTAAAGAGTGATAGACTCGAATGCCTTTCATAGTTTATTATTGGTTTTCATTTTCGTACTCTTAAAATAGCATATTTTGGAATTTCGAATTTTGCATCATGAACGTCTGGTCTGTTTTAACCACACTGAAGTTGATAATGGTATTCCCAGAACACAGATGTCATTGCACATTGCTTTAACCCATCAGTTTTATGACGTGCACTTCCGCGTGGGACTATATCTTTACAGCGGGAATTTCAAGTTTTTGTCAGTGTAGACATAAAAAGTTGCAGTCCTCATACTCGCGCGTTTTTTAATATTTTCATTTGAAACTCGCAAGAACCGGTGCTTTTAATCTAGCTCTATACTCTTCTAAAACGTCATGTAGAGACATGATTATGTACATGTATGACAGTGCACAGTAACATTATATAGGCATAGAATAATAAAACTGGAGCCTGAAAAGTCAAATATGGTGCAATGTTGAAAAGCCAAGAGAAATTCTACTGTATCAGCATATAAAATAGATAGTTTATATATTACTTTATCATACACCTTGGTTCAAATTATACATGATTTTTTCATTGAACAGACAAGTCTTGAAAACTAAAAATTCATTTTATTTACTTCCACAATATTTAAACTTTTTAATATGAGACTGGATGTTAATCTGTTTTTTATATATTCATATTCAATTAAAAGTTTATCGCGCAAAGACATATTTTCAGATAAAGCTTAATTTAAAATCTTTGACTCTTTACATCTCAGTTGCGGCCAGAATTCAGAATTTTTTTAACTGATGCTAGGCGTTTCGGATTGAGGGGTCGTCTCAACAAACTTAATTCCAGTTAACCATCAATTTCTGAATTTCATAGATGATAAAGTCATAATTCTGTTATTTATGTTTGATTATGGTAAACCCTGTACTTCATAAAATATATTTAACCGTGGTAAATTCTGTATTTAATGAAGTAAATATCTATTTAGGGGCAAATCAATACTAGACATAGCAGGTCATCTGATTCTCAATTTGATTTTGATTTGAACTGATTCTCAATTGGGACCCATAGTGACTTTGCTCCACCATTATTGGTTGAGTTTAAGTCATGGCTCTAATTGGTACAACAATTAAGCTTCCCACGAATGCTGTTTTTTCTCCAGGGTCTTGCCATAACTAACGAAAACAATGGTGTGGACATTTCTGGATTATTTCCGGTGTTTCCTTTTGTTGCTACCTCATTTCTCAAAGTATCCATGCCAATTTCTTGACTCTGTTGAAAGCCCATGGTCCAATCAACCGTACCTCCTTATCATAATTATGATGACCACACAAAATAATACAGCGTGGGAACCGACTGTGCCAAATGCTACGGATATTGGAGCTATGTGTGTTGTGTTTTCAAGTGTTATTTAACATATGTCCGACAAATCGAATTATGGTTTTGATACTATCTAGATGTATTTAATAGTAGTCTCGTTCATTCATTGGACCAATAAAAATCATAACTGCCTGGAAAGTAATATGAATAAAGTATGTAAATAAATGAATTAAAACGTAAAATTAATTATTTTCCAAGATATAGCGATTTCTTTGGGTTGCGTTTATTAACACACTGTACTTGCATCAGCCATATTTTTTATGACTCTAACTCATGCATCATTTAAGTGAACGGGATCGAAAAGAGGTCCCAAAATTTTGTGTTTTTTGTTGTTATTTTTAATTAGTAGATATTCATTAGTCATGCATGAAAAATGGGGAAGTATCTCTTCAAAACTGCAAGTGAAAACACTACATTCAAGTTTCAGCACTGCATCAAATTACCAAAAAATTAGAGTGTTGTATGAGATGTATGAACTGGATGTGCGAGTGAAGAAATGATTTGGGAGAGAGAAACTGGTGACACAAGCAACGAAAGAATCGATATTCCTGTTGTGGGAACCATGGTTCGATTGAAAGGAACAAAACAGTTGCTATATGGTACAATTAAGCCAATGGATGGTTTGTTAATTTTTTATTTCTCTTGTATTTTCAGCCGGCCCGTGAAGACAGCTCAAGTAACAACACATTGAAGAATGAATAAGGATCTCAAAAGACAAGACAAATAAATGATTGATGTATGGTTTGTAACGTGACTGTGTTGGCACTTGTAAAAACAAGACTAGGCTGAATTCAAATACAAGAAATCAAAAGGGTCATGGTGTCAGTTTAGATTCTGTGGTTAAACCCAATATGGCTGGAGAAGAGATTATAGGACAATCCAGTAGTGTTATATTGAGTTATAAACAAGATATGAGTTCCACGAACATCAAACATGAGATTGATGATTCTCATTACTGTATCAATTCAGATATTAATTTGATCAATGGAAATCTGTATGCAACCGAACATTTAAGTACTTCAAAGAACATCAAACAAGAGAAAGAAACCTATAGCACCACAGATTATATGCCACTAGAAGACTTTGGTATGCTAACAAAATGTTATGATGACATTGTAACAGAGGAAGTTGCAGCACCATCTAACAGTGTTCCATTAGATGAGAAAGATACCACCAAAGAAGAGGTAGAAACCTATAGCAGCACAGATAATATGCCAATAGAAGACTTTGGTATGTTAACAAAGTATAATGATGACATTGTAAAACAGGAAGTTGCAGCACCATCCAACAGTGTTCCATTAGATGAGAAAGATACCACCAAAGAAGAGTTGGAAACCTATAGCAGCACAGATAATATGCCAATAGAAGACTTTAGTGTGTTAACAAAGTATAATGATGACATTGTAAAGGAGGAAGTTGCCGCACCATCCAACAGTGTTCCATTAGATGAGAAACATACCACCAAAGAAGAAGTAGAAACCTATAGCAGCACAGATAATATGCCAATAGGAGACTTTGGTATGTTAACAAAGTATTATGATGGCATTGTAAAAGAGCAAGTTCCAGCACCATCCAACAGTGTTCTTTTAGATGAACATACCACCAAAAAAGAGGTAGAAACCTATAGCAGCACAGATAATATGCCAATAGAAGACTTTGGTATGTTTACAAAGGATAATGATGGCATTGTAAAAGAGGAAGTTGCAGCACCATCCAACAATGGGTCATTAGATAAGAAGCATACCACCAAACAAGAGGTAGAAACCTATAGCAGCACAGCTAATATACCAATAGGAGACTTTGGTGTGTTAACAAAATGTTATGATGACATTGTAAAAGAGGAAGTTGCAGCACCATACAACAGTGTTCCATTAAATGAAAAACATACCACCAAAGAAGAGGTAGAAACCTATAGCAGCACAGATAATATGCCAATAGAAGACTTTGGTGTGTTAACAAAATGTTATGATGACATTGTAAAAGAGGAAGTTGCAGCACTATCCAACAGTGTTCCATTAGATGATGAACAAAATAGTGAAATTAGTGTAAAACGAGCGATAACAAATGATGATAAAGATTACAAAGACAATAATGAGGAGGAACATCACATGTCTAACAAGTCTATTGATGAAATGGATTTTGTGAAAGATGTATTTTCGGAGCATAATTATGCAATATGTCCTACTTCTTTAAGATTTGAAATATCTGGTAATGCATATGCTTCTTCTGCTAATTCTGTAATAAAGGATACTAATGCAGCCGAGAAGCCTTATAAATGTCAAATTTGTGGAAAGCGTTTCAGTCACTCTTCTCATTTGAAGTTTCATGAGAGAAATTATACTTATAAATGTCAACATTGTGGAAAATGTTTTATGACAAATTATGAAGTTAAAACACATGAAACAATTCATACTGGTGAGAAGCCATTTAAATGTCAATATTGCGGAAAATGTTTCAATCAGTCTTCTAATTTGATATGTCACGAGAGAATCCATACAGGTGAGAAGCCATTAAAATGTCAACATTGTGAAGAATGTTTTAGCTACTCCCTTTCCCTGAAATGTCATGAAAGAACTCATACAGCAGATAAAGCATTTAAATGTCAACATTGTGAAGGGAGTTTCAATTATCCTTCTCATTTGAAGCTTCATGAAAGAGTTCATCATGAGAAGCCATTTAAATGTCAACATTGTGAAAAATGTTTCAATCAGTCTTCTAATTTGATACGTCACGAAAGAATTCATACAGGTGAGAAGCCTTATAAATGTCAACATTGTGGAAAATGTTTTAATACAAATTATGAAGTTAAAATACATGAGAGACTTCATACTGAGAAGCCATTTAAATGTAAATATTGCGGAAAGTGTTTTACAGAAATAAGTGATGTTAAAGTTCATAAGAGAATTCATACAGGAGAGAAGCCTTATGAATGTCAATATTGTGGAAAATGTTTTAAAACAAATTATGAGGTAAAAAGACATGAGAGAATTCATACTGAGAAGCCATTTAAATGTCAATATTGTGGAAAGTGTTTCAGAGAAATTAGTGATGTTAAAGTACATGAGAGAATTCATCCTGAGAAGCCATTTAAATGTCAACATTGTGAAAAATGTTTTATAACAAAGTATGACGTTAAAACACATGAAACAATTCATACTGGTGAGAAGCCATTTAAATGTCAATATTGCGGAAAATGTTTCAATCAGTCTTCTAATTTGATGTGTCACGAGAGAACTCATACAGGTGAGAAGCCTTATAAATGTCAACTTTGTGGAAAATGTTTTAAAACAAAATTTGATGTTAAAAGACATGAGAGAATTCATACTGAGAAGCCATTTAAATGTCAACATTGTTTAAAGTGTTTCAATCACCCCTCTAATTTGAAAAGTCATGAGAGAACTCACACAGCACATACGTTGTTTAGATGTCAACATTGTGGAAAATGGTTCAATTGTGCTACTTTGAAACGTCATGAAAAAGTTCATACTAGTAAGATGGCGATTTAATGTCAATATTGTTCAAAATATTTCAATCAAACTTCTGCTTTAAAAAGTCATGTGAGAATTCATACAGAATGGAAGCCATTTCAATGTCAACATTGTGACAAATGTTTCGGTTTCTCTTACTCTTTGAAATATCATCAAATAATCCATACAGGTAAGAAGCCTTATGAATGTCAACATTGTGGAAAGTGTTTCAGAAGAGCTAATGAAGCTAAAATACATGAGAGAATCCATACTGGAGAGAAGAGATTTCAATGTTTTCATTGTGGAAAATGTTTTAGTCGTCCTTCTGCTTTTAAGTGTCATGAGAAATTCCATACAAGTGTGCAACCTTATCAGTGTCAATATTGTCTTAAGTGTTTTCAATCAAATCCTAAGGTTAAAGCCCATGAGCTCATTCATTCAGGTGAGAAATCATATAAGTGTTGAGAATGTGAAAAAAAATTAAGAAGAAATAGTGATGTTAAATACATAGAGAATTCATACAGGCGAGAAGCCTTTTAAATGTCAACATTGTGAAAAATGTTGTTTTAAGAAACTTTCTTTAAAATGTCATGAGAGATCTCATACAATTGAGAAGCCAGTCAATGACAGCATTTTGGAAAGTGTTTCAGTACGCAGTAAGAAACTTTCTTTGAAACATATGAAAAGTCTTATAAATATTATCACTGTGGAAAGTGTTACATTATCAGGGTTCTCACCAGGAGATTTTAGACCCCGAATTTTTCGCTGTATCGCGACTACTCCCCCATGTGAGATGAGAGATATCATATTAGTGTACTCAAAACCCTACTTAAAGATCATCTTCCTATTTTAATCACAATATACATTTCTAAAAGGTGGCTGACTTCCTATTCATTGTTTGTATCCCGTTTTATGTATTTTCTCAAGAGTTTTACCATAAATAATGTCACAAAATTAAAAAATTAGACTCCGACAAAAACATTTTAGACTCCGGAAAAGCTATTAGACACTTGGGCAAGAGGGTCTAAAGACATTAGACTCCAGAGAATCTCCGGGGTCTAAAAGCCTAGTCAGAACCCTGATGTTGGTTGAAGAGAATCTAATGCCAAGACTCAATACATTGTGGCTTATTCAGTTATTCATTCCACTCAGGTGTTGCTTCCTAAACTTCGTACTCAAATGATTATGAGTCCACCACAATGCAACAACCCCAGGGCTTAAATCCTTAAACCCATTGAACCATTGAGAATTTTTGTCTATACAAGAAGCTGTATGAATCTTATGTCTTTAAAAAATTGCCGATACAAATGTAAAAATGTTATTAGTATCAGATTATGGAATAACATTTTTAAAAAGAAATAAAATGTTTATATGTATATGTGACCAACTGAGTCTGTTTTTACATGCATTTACTTAATTTTGACCCTTACATGAATATGGAACTTATACATCGATATTGATTGCCCTTCATTACAGAGGGCAGCTTAATGTGGCTGTCACACTTGGGATGTATGGGCACACTGTTCGCCACCATGTAAATACTTTGGGCAGATAGTGGGGCTCGGCATGGATACATGTTGGGCGAGACAAATGGTCTTACAGCAAGATATCCTTCATCACATCAAATACAAAAATGAAAATCAGCCACACCTTGGCAAATATTGAGCCCACACTGATACTGTGACAGCTACTTAAAACACTTTTAATAGATTCTGGAATGAAATATTTTGGAATTAAATGGGTAGTTTTATAGAAGCTGACCATTTTAAAGCTTTTCCCTCTTAAGGATATTCGAGTATTCTAAGCATGTTTCGAGGCTACTATGATGATGTCAACATTCTTATAGAACATGGGTAATCGGGAGAATATCGTTGACATAATATGCACATAGGAGAATATATTTTCTTTTTTTCAGTGTTTCTCTTCAATGTTCTAACATGATAACAATGTTCTAAAGAGTGATAGACTCGAATGCCTTTCATAGTTTATTATTGGTTTTCATTTTCGTACTCTTAAATAGCATATTTTGGAATTTCGAATTAAGCATTATGAACGTCTGGTCTGTTTTAACCACACTGAAGTTGATAATGGGATTCCTAGAACACGGATGCCATTGTATCTTTTTGTGATATAATAAAAAAGCTCTATGACTTGGGGTCAAAATGATTTAAATCAAATGTCCATTTACATGTTGTTTAAATGTCATTTGCCAATTTATAGTTAAATTATAGTTCCCATTTTTGAAACATACAAACAAACCAAAAAATCCTCTTTCAAGATGCCCTTATGTATTATAAATTGAGAGCAAATTGAAGAAATGAGACAGAGAAGATACACTCACTATCCTTCCATCAGAACCATCTGGATCCGCCAAATTAAAGAATTGAGAATTTATTAAGGCGTGTTATCAGGACATGGCCAGACTACAATTATACAAACCACATTTATACAATCACATTAATCTACAAGACTAAGACGTGATAACCTCATTATACCGACGCGTATTATAATACCGAAACCCATTATACCGACGCGCATGCCGAAAACCAACATAGGCCTACTGATGCGCGTTGTACCGAAATCCGTGCCAGTGGGACGGCACATTGCTTTAACCCATCAGTTTTATGACATGCACTTCCGCGTGGGACTATATCTTTACAGCGGGAAATTCACGTTTTTGTCAGTGTAGACATAAAAAGTGCATACTCGCGCGTTTTTCAATATTTTCATTTGAAACTCGCAAGAACGGTGCTTTGAATCTAGCTCTTTCAAAACGTCATGTAGACATGATTATTACCCCCATAAATGTGGGGTCGATTTGGCGTTTTTCTTATATTTTATCATTCTTGTGCCAAATCTCATTGGCACTAAAATATTAAAAAATAAGAAAAACGCCAATTCGACCCCACATTTATGGGGGTAATGATTATGTACATGTATGACAATGCACAGTAACATTATATAGGCATAGATTTAAAAGTGGAGCCTAAAAAGTCAAATATGGTGCTATGTTGAAAAGCCAAGAGATACTACTGTATCAGCATATAAAATAGATAGTTTATATATTACTTTATCATACACCTTGGTTCATTGAACAGACAGGTCTTGAAAACTAAAAATCCATTTTTATTTACTTCCACAATATTTTAATTGCGGCCAGAATTTTATGATTATGGTTAATCACGACTTCATAAAATATATTCAACCGTGATAAATTCTGTATTCAATGAAGTAAACATTTATTTATACTGTATTGTTTCCTTGGTAGAAATAAATAATTGTGCTATCAAATATAAACTTTCACATTTCTTATTGAACTTGATAATTACGGTATTATCGATCTTGTGCTGATGGGGCCAAATATTGTTGTCATGGGGAGAGAGCAAGATATGTTGTCATGGAGATAGTAAGAAACGCATTCATTTGTTATACTTTAAATCTTTCCAAATCCAAGTGTGATTTTTATCAATGTGTGCCACAATGATCCCATTAATTCTGAAGTCATTTCATTTTCTAACCATTTCACGAACATTTCTTTTCATATAATACTTTTAAATTGGAATCATTGTTTAAATTGGTTCTACAGTTTTTGGCTACTGTTATTATCTCTATCATCAGTTTTCATTCCACAAACGAAATATCAATTATTTTGCCCAATATTTCAGTTTCATTATTTTGAAAGATTGAATACATGTTTTAATTGGTAGTTTAAAATGGTGCTCATTAACTAAGTCCAATATTCAGTGCCCCTTTAATATCTATTTGGGGGAAATCAATACTAGACTTGGCAGGTCATCTGATTCTCAATTTGATTTTGATTTGAATTGATTCTCAATTGGGACCCAAAGTGACTTTGCTCCATCGTTCTTGGTTGAGTTTAAGTCATGGCTCTAATTGGTACAAAAATTAAGCTACCCACGAATGCTGTTTTTTCTCCGGGGCCTTGCCATAACTAACGAAAACAATGGTGTGGACATTTCTGGATTATTTCCGGTGTTTCCTTTTGTTGCTACCTCTTTTCTCAAAGTATCCATGCCAATTTCTTGACTCTGTTGAAAGCCCATGGTCCAATCAACCGTACCTCCTTATCATAATTATGATGACCACACAAAATAATACAGCGTGGGAAGCGACTGTGTCAAATGCTACGGATATTGGAGCTATGTGTGTCGTGTTTTCAAGTGTTATTTTACATATGTCAGACAAATCGAATTATGGTTTTGATACTATCTAGATGTATTTAATAGTAGTCTCGTTCATTCATTTGACCAATAAAAATCATATCTGCCTGGAAAGTGATATGAATAAAGTAGGTA